ATCTAGGCTGAGGTAAACTTTAGCAGTAACAAAGTCCGGGACGGTTCCAATGCACTATACAGTTTATATAAGCACATCAACTGACAGGAAAACAATTTGTAAGGACCTTGGAAGCCAACTTCAAGGGAAGGGAAGAGAATTATATTCCTGTACCTGAGGTGAGCTGCATATAGCCTTACTGATGACCCAAGAAGTCAGTGTCCAATGGCAAATCCATAAGCTGTCCTGACACACAATGAATCGAACACGTCTTGTGGAAGAATGAATTTCAGTGTAGAGTTTGAGTTTCTGAAGACACTTGTTGTGATAGTATTACTGCCATTTGCACCATTATCCTGGCCTTAAATACACATGGGAAATTACTGCACTTCCTTCAGTTCAAAATGGGCTCAATGTCCTGTTGCTCTTTGCTATACTGAAAAGAACTTCCTTTGCAACAAGAAGGAACCTACATTATATCTTCTATGGCCAGAGGAAGAACATTTTATTGCCAAAGTGAGTTCTTACAACAGTGGTCTCTGGAAAGAATGGAAGAGATGGATTGGAGGTGAGGGAGAGAAACGTAGTTGTTCTGAAGACGCTTGGGTTCAAGCCCAAATGAAGCTGATCCATTTGGCTACTAAAGAGTATAGGGAGGGAAACGAAACATGGTGAGAAATGGTCAGGCTCACCTCTTCAAAAAGTGCTGATCAGAGCTAAGAAATGCACTTGATAGAACATCATGGTTGTGTCGCTAAAGCACTTCAAGGATTCATGGAGTCTAGTAAGGCCTGTGATGATGACAATGTAGCAAGTGACAGCATTTTTAAAGACAATATAAAAAATAAATCATAATTTTTGCTGGTGTTAAGAGTTGATGTAAAGACTAGCCAAAGAGCAAAGCATTACCTTTGATTAGGAGATGGTGACTTCTTGAATCTGAAGACCAGACAGTTCTGCAGTTCTTGTTCCTCAAAGAGGAATTTTTCAGCTGCCTGTCACATCTTTGTAAGCAGTTGACTTTTTTGTACTGAGGCAGCCCAATGACATAACTGACGCTATAAAATCTATTTTTGTGTCCACAGTATCAAGCTCTATGTAAAAGGATGCTTCAGAATATCAACAATTGCCCTATAAAAACCCTGTAGCTTTTTCAAGTGAAAGAAGGTGCTCAAGAAGAGAGTAATGCTAAGCCAGTGAGGCTTGATAATTTACAATATATATAATGATAAAACGCTAGATCACTGGATGACTCTTATTAACAGCTGCAAACTGTGGGGCCACTGGAATTATGAATTCTATGCAGGGCTGCAATAGCAAAAACAGATTTGGAAACTGGATACATGAATAAAAGCAACTTCCATTGCTGAAGATGTGACATTAGACAAAAGATTTTGCGGATATGTGTTTTAGTAGGATTGAGTGGAAATCTGGTACTTCTAAAGTGGTGTGCCCACACTAGAATGGCTTTCATCCAGGTAGGCAGGGCATGATAAGTGTTTCAAACTGATGCTGGATTTGGACTGAACAATACATGAAATGCATTAGCACACTCCTCTAGTCAAAGTAGAGCAGCCTCATGCTATGATGTTATGACAGAAAAAACAGTCCTGGCAAATAGGTTCTCAAGGAAAAGAAGGTAAAGGAAAGTGGGAAGGTCTCTGGGACTGCTCCTAAGAAATGCACTGAAAATATTTTCAGAAAAAAATATGTTGTACCATACAAAACAGAGATTTGAAGATAATTTTAAGAGCTGAAGGCAGTGCTCAACTGACTGCAGAATAAACTATACCAGATGTTTAAGAAGACATGAAGAGGTTGATTGTGTCCTACTGATTTATAGTAAGTGCATCAGGTGGATGTAAACATATCATACAGATAATGGTAAGGCTCTGGTTTTAAATGCTTGAACACGTGCACTTCTGCAGGATGAATGTGCATGGCTCAATGACCAGTTTATAGCACCCACCACAGAACTCTGGCAGACAGCAGAACCTCACCAAAAGCCCACCTGGAGTACAATTAAGACTGCACTTCTTTCCACTCTACAATGGCAATGGCCCAGGGGGAAGTGAAGAAAATGTAAATGAGATGTATGAACAGCAATATGGTGGAACATTCAGTACCATCTCTTTAATTAGAGTGCTCTTTCCTTTGAATCTAAGTATTTTTCTCTGAACAGGGGAGACAAAGGACAGCTGGGAGCCCTTGGGGTCTTTCTGAACTTTATAAAAAGCGTTGGATGAAAATTCCTAAGAATCACTGGATGTCTCTAAAGGAAAGTTTCTTGCATATCATCAGAGAAAACCAGTTTCTTGTCTGCCTCACAAGATCTAAATAAAATTGCATCTAAGAGGAAGAAAGTAAATGTATTTATCTACTTTCCCTATTTAAGATTTAGCCACAAGTCACAGGACCACACCATGGCTAGGACACAGGCCCCTGCAAGAGTCAGTCTGAGCTACAGAGGTGTCCAGTCTTGCTGTAGCAAAATGAGTGGCATAGGCAGTCATGTCTGACAGCAGTCCTGTTTTCTTAAAGTAATCTCATGCAAGCTCATTCTTAGCCCTGGCTGATATTAAGGGCTATAAAGATCATAGTAATTTTAATAGAATGCAGCAAATGACAGGGGACTAGAAATTCTCATCTCAGGGCTTGCAATTGAAAGTATCTTTCATCAAACTACTAAAATTACATAAAGTCGTCTACTTTTCCTATTCTCCCAAGACTGCCTTGCAGGAGGGTAAAAAAATCACAGTCCATTTATAAAAGCTGGCAACAAAGTTTCCTGAGGAGCCTTCCAGTACTTTCTGAAACAGTTGCTTACAAAGCATCTGAAGACACCTGGAATTTCATGGAAATGCCACTACGCTTCTGAAACACACTAAGACTCCATTCAAAAAATAAACTGTGGATTTTCTGACCATCAGAAATCAGTAGAAATAAACAAGTAGAAAAGTCCCTAAGTAATAAGCCACCCATTTTGATCTCACTTACTAATTAAATTTCTTTTCAGCTCTAGTTAATGATTTTCTAAGGAATCAGTTGTTCAAGCATGGCATGTTCATAAACACTCAGCTCTTGGCTGATACCTGCTAATACAGGACGTACTGAAGAGTTAAATAATGTATTTTGCAAACTGGATTTCTAACTAAACCTATTTCTAGAGTCTGTGTTCAGCTTGGAACTTGCAGACCTGGTGTAACTAAGAAGCTTGTTGCTAATCGTAACACTTGTGAGCAGTGTGAGCTTATTTTCAGGTTGGATGATTACTTTTATCAGAGGATGAGGCAGCAACGCAGTGCACTATGTTGCTCAGTCCCTCTAAACCATATTGTACGAACTGTTAGAGGCTGAGAAAACTCACCATTTAGATGTAGAGGATTGGATTTTCCAGTGGTCTAGAATCCCTTTGCACATTTTTTTTCCCGACTTCTTGTGAGACTATGTGTCTTACTGAAATTATAGCTAAATATGTTAATAGCATCTTCAGAAAGCAAGATGCGCTTCCTCATAGCTTTTGTTAGCATAAATTAATTTAAACAGTGCATCATTAAATCATAAATTGATATGGGTTGCTTGCTAGGTCTGCAAACTAATTGCAAATGAACAATGTAAAAATAAAGGAACATATGCTCAGGTTTTCACCTAAATATTATCATCCAATACCATTTCAGAGTTACAACACTGTGCCATCTCCTACACAGTACTAGTATGCTGGCCTACAGTTAAGCAGATGGTTTGCCATGGGTGATGAGATACAAGTGATATGGAAGCTTTATAAATAATGTCACCGACTGCAACTATTAGCCCAGCAATCAACTAAATATTTGAAGGGAGGCTTCTAGTCTCCTAGAGATGGTCCTTCCAGATAGGTGTGGAGGCTTACAGCTAGAGCTGAGCTTGCCAAGGGCTAGCAGGACAGAGTCTGCAATGGGTTCAATGTTTTTAAGAAATGGAATAGTGACCAGGAAAGAAGAAAGCAAAATCTTGTCCTGCCAGAATCTCTTCTGTGGGTGAAGAATCCACGTAAATAGTTCGTTGTGTACATCTCACCAATGCTCACTATGTTTTAAACCTAGTGGAAATAATTATATGTGGTGAGTAGGGCATCAGAATGGAAAATACAGAGTAATAAATCACCTGAAAACCTCCAAACCACTGGCATCATTCAGCAGTCTGTGTGCTCTTTGTCATATGAAAAGAGTCTGGCAGAGGTCCAGTCACTCTACCCTTTCTGTTCCCAAAAGGTCATTCTCACTAACAGCCGTAAATATAACATGAAGAAGACAAGCACAAGGGTGTGCAATGGGTTAACTGAGAGCAGAAGCTAAAGAATTATCTTCATTGTTCAATGAACTTCCTCATCCCTTCCACTCTCAGGCTCCAACAACACAGAGAGACAAGCCATGCTTCAGTCTTGAAAGAACATACGAAAGCTCACTGGTCACTAGGGAAAAATCTTTCAGTGGCTACTAACATAGCTGCACAAAGGAAATAAATGAATTTCCAGTCACAATATTTACATTTCAATCAAAAGTACTGCACATTTTAAGTAGGCAAATACAGTTGTTCATTTAACACCACATATGTAATAGAGCATTGTTTTATATCATCGTCACCATCCACTTTTAGGTCAATAGGCAGTTCTGCAACATGAGATTTTTCAGGAATCCTACAGCAACACATACACACAAACACACACAAATCAAATGTAAGAAGTAGCTTGCGTAAGGTAAGTAAGGTTAATGGCAAAAGCTTCTTTCTATGCAGAAGAAATCAAACATTAAAGCTGCAGCATTAGGAAAAAAAGTTTAAAAACAAGAAATGAAGTTGTACAACAGATGAGAACTTAACAAAATTGGTGACCTTTCCACACAGATGAAGTCAGGTTAAAAAAAAACCAAACCAAACCAAACCAAAACCAAAGGGACCAAATGAGACCAAAAGAGAACCTCCCCCCTCACACACATACAGACAAAAGTGAGAGCACAACAAAGGAAGTGGAAGAAAAGTGTTACCCATAAGTAGCCGCCGTTTCACCCGCTTGTCCACATCAGCTACTGACGTGGCATTGTACTCAGAACTCTCAATTGCAGCCTCATCCTTCTCTAAAACACAAGTAAGGGACAAACATGGAGCAGTTGGTTAATCACAAGCCCAATTTTCCACTGCCTAAGACAGTTTCTTGGCGTGGCACAGCCAAAGCCAAGAAGCAAGGCATGAAAGCACTAAATCCCCGTTAGAGAGTTAATTCCCTTTGAGACCCCAGGAACAAATTAAAGTGTGTTTTGGGAAAGGAGGGAGAAAGAGGGGGAGGAGGAAGAATGGTCAACTATGAAGTAATTAACCACATACAGGAAGCTGGATTCCTACTGGAGAACAAGACAGCTAACATGAGTGCCCCAGAGAGGTGTTAAGGATGAAAATTAAAGTTCAGGGATGCTAGTTAAACAAACTACCAAAGACAAACTGTGAAGTGATTCAGGCTAACGGTGGCATCAGGATCTGAAAGTGGCAGGCAGAAGAGACCGAGACAGATAGAGAGAGCTAGAAGAGTCCGGTGATGGATGGGCACGGATGCACCATAGTCTCGTACACATTGACACATCGTGAGGAGAAACCAAACAACAGCATGCAAATTAAACAAAAACAACAACAAAAATAAACAAACAACAAACCAAACAAACACAAAAAAAGATCAATTTGGGCAGTGCTGGTTGCCTGCTTGTCTATGAAACACTACTAGCTAAACATTCAATGCTAGGAAAGATGTTGCAAGAACAGGGTTTAGTAATTTTAGAAGCATGCAGTAAGCAAGATGATGTCAGCAGAGGTCATTTTACAAGGTAGTCTCTGATATCCTACATGTAAGAGTTTCATACAGCATAATGAGGACTTTAGTTTGGTTATGCTTCATTAGGAATACACAGAAACGGTCACAAGAGTGGGAAGAGATGATCAGTAAGTGAAATAAAAAGAAAGATTTCTGATACAGGAGAGCAATGGAGAAGCAGCAGCTGGGTAAATAAAATTATTTATACAGAGAGGGAGATGCTTATTAGGAAAACAAAAACCAAAATGCAAGTGGGGACTTTCACATGCAGCAAACATAAAAAAAATAAAATAAAAGGATAAGTCAAGCAAACGAAGACAAAATATGTTAGACAAAGGGTCAACAAGTATTTATCTGGCATTGCAGAAGTTTGCATTCTTGCAGTGATGCCTGGAATATATACACCACTGAAGGCAGCAAACACTGGAATCACTGAAGTGAGGAGGAGGAGGAGGCTGGCAGGTTTTGTTTGTGGCAACACTACATGGTTGAGTGGTAACAAGAAGTTGTTTTGTTTTGTTTTTAACAAGTTCTAGATGGGATCAGGCTGCAATAGAGGCTTTTGTTCGAGTTTTTTTTTTTTATTTTGCTCTGTAAATAATTAATGAACGTCAGTTATCAGACAAGACAGGCAATCAGGAACCATCACCAGAAAGCAGGAATAAAAATGTAAAAAATAAATTAAAAAAAAATAATCAAAGTATTCTAAGAGAAAGAACTACTCAGAAGGAAGAAAATCAGCACAGGCAGTAATATGTGACTTACATCACAAGACCAAGGAATGTAACATGGAGTTGTATGTATTACATTACAAAAATGGGAAAAAAAAAAAAAGTAAAAAACAGGTGCAGTATAGACAGCTTTTAAAACCATTTTTACATGCTGGACAAAATAAAATTCAATCCAAGGTTATTAGTGAACGCTAATAAATAGAAGATCAATTATCCATTCAGTAAAAAACCTGCTCTCAAGGTCCTCGCTCTTGCAAATTCTCTGCGTCTGGAACTACCAAGGGCTTCAGGGAGGGTTATTTAAACAGAGGGACTGTAGGATGGAGCCCTCTGTGTTAAGCAAAAGCACTAGCTGAGAGCTCCCATAAGCTGAGACGTAGTTTGTGCATCCAGCAAGGAGGAGTCCAGCGCTGAACCTTGTTCAGCTCTACCTCTGCCGGCAAAACCCTCCACCTACCACACAATTTGTGTCATCAAACCCATCAGGAGTGAGCGAGGCTTTGGGCAGCCATGGAGTTTTATGCCATGGATCTGACTAAGGAATCGCTAAAGATAACTGACAGATCTCCATGGGTTTCAAGTGCTCTGTCTTGCAGTATTGCTAAAGGAGAGAAAAGGCGATGTGTCCACGCTTTTTTAATCTCAGGAAATTACTAGGAATTTGTAAGAACTTGAAATTAAACAAACCAAGGCAACGTGACCACAATGCTACTGAAAATAATTATCGATTTTAGGTTCTGATCTCCAAATTTTAACTTGAGTATGCAAAAATACCCTTTTTTATTAAAAAAAACCAAACAGTGGAAAGAAATGGAATTAAGCACATAATATATTTTATAATCATAAATGTTTGCACAGCATCTCCAAAGATGCTCCACCTCTTGAACAGCTTTTTCCTACTGAAAATCTGTGTGAAAACTTATTCACTACACATGCTGTAATTTTTAGAATCATAAAACATACAACAGGGAAGAAAGTACATCATGATAATCAATTTTCCCCAATAACAGCTTAGAAAAGAGGATCGTTTTCCTCACATTGCTTACACAAGGAAGTCTTGACTCATGAAAGTGAACAGAAGAGCTGAGCTTCCATTCAGAATTATGAATGCTCTATACCTTTTTACTTCAAAAATTATTAGAGTTATGGAAAGAAACAAAAGTTGTAAAGGAGTAACAAAGGGTACTTCATTCACAAACATTTTGACAAAACATGCACAAATGCTTCTCTCTCTGCAGAGTGTGACCGTAGCTACTATTGCCAGGAACTGCTGCTATAGACCTCTCTCAGCAATGGTGCTAAATGCCTGTGAGATACAAACACACACGCGCACACACACACACGTGCACATATATATTCTTTGAGCAATATGAAATAAAATGCACCGCATAGTAGTACTTACCAATGCAGGTTCGGCCATCTGAATGTAGAGCATACTTCTGATGACAACCACACACAGGACCAGTATCTGTGTCATCACAGGTGTGTTGGCAGCCTCCATTCCCATAGTTACAGGTTACTAGTTAAGCCCCAAATGAATGTGTATATATGTATATATAAATAAAATGACAATGAAACCAATTAGTCTTGAGGGCCTTTCAGAATACAGAAGAGCAGTAACAAACCAAGACATAAGGCAACATCACATTTGTAATTGCAGTTATTGGCATTTCTTATTCTTTCCTACCCCCCTTATCTGAGCCACGTTCCTGTCTCACACCCTACTCTTAATCCATGCAGTGAAGAAACAAAGAGAAACAAAAAAAGCAGCATCTACTACTTTTCCCCAAGTCTATTTGTATTCATAATTTTACTATGACTGGTTATCTGATTAGCTTCCTAAAAGCTTCATATCTGTGACATACATGGCATGAAGAAATGAGCAGCCTACTAATATGTCTACTAATACGGACGTATATTTACAGGTCTATAGACAGGATTTCTCTTTTCCTTCCCCTTCACTTTCTAAGTAGAGGAAGCACAGACCAAACAGCAAGAATAGAACCACGTAAGTCTTTAAAATCTATTATTTCAAGTCCTGGTATTCCTAGAGTAGAAGAAGGTTTAAAAATAAAGCAGGAAACATGGTTTCTTTTTTTTTTTTTCTTTTCTTCTCTGAAACAAGAAATACATGCTTGTTATGGCCCTGCAGTGCACTGGCCTCAACTAGGAAAGAAACATTGGCGAGGCCACTTTCACTTCCAAGCATACAGTGCAAAATGGCTTTTAGCAATTAAAAAGTCTTCCAGTGAAAAAATATTAAGCATATATTAAAGCAAACATTTTTTGTGACAGGTAGAGTTTTGAAGTTTACATAAATTAATAGATCGGATTCAGTTTCCTTTGACGCATGATGGATTTAATTTCTGACTATTAAGACAAACCAATTTTTAAATATTAAGCCAGCTAGGACCATTAGCAATGCCTCTCATTTGCCCCTTTTCCATTTAATCCTTTGCAGTTGCATAGCTTGCTACTGAATAACACAATTCTGATCTCACTGAGTTCTGAATTTAATTTACTATCTTTATATACAGGTAATTTGGACTAGGTTCTTTATTGGTATATACATACTGGCAGATACAGGGCAAACCAATATGCCATTCAGTGGTATCATACTCATAATTTCAGAAGACTTCAGTATTTTGAAATGTTACAGTAATTTAAATACCGACTACGCTATTTTGGATACTGACTCCTATTAACCAGAAGGAACTTCCTCACATTGGTTTTAGCAGAATTTTCCTTCTAGATTAGAGAGCTTATAAAAGAGCCAGGGTAGAAAATTGCAATATACAGTAAAACCAAGATAATAGTTAACGGGATTTTAAAATAATATATCTAAATCTAAACTGAGGTTCTATCCAATCCAATAGGGCTAAACTCATATAATTTCCCACTGACTTCAGAGTCACTGCTTTAACGCTAGCTTCTTAAAATGGAGTAGACTGGAATTTTCAGCCACAGTAACTAGAACTGAAATATCCCACCTCTGGTGTGAGTGTCTTAGTGCTGAATAGTCACGCCACTTTCAGTAATCACTGAAGTATTTCCCTTAAAATAGAACAGTTCTAAGAAAAGCAACTGAGGGAGACCACCACAGCATACCCAACAGAATTCCCATTAACACCTCCTGCCAGTGTGGGCACTGCAAGTTTACACCTACGGTCTCTGAATTCTGGCAAAGATCACAACAGGAATTGTCCATCTCTCAAGTGAGTACAGAACAGAGGCCACTACAGGTGCGAGCATCCTTGGCTCTTCACATGGTACAATTGGAATAAAATCCTTGTGTTCAGAGACAGAGAGGGAATAGTCTCGTCACCTCGTGGTAAGAACAATCCCTGAGAAGAGGGCCTGCCTGGATTCCCATCTCCCCAGGAATATCACTGTTTTATCAAACTGGAAAGAATGCCAATGAGAAAGATGGATGGCAAGATCTCCCTTATTGGAGACTGACAGTTTGGGCACTAGGCTGGAAAATAGGAATCGGGGGTTCAGTCCCACCAGACAGAGAAGGAAACTGAACTCACATACCCCAAGTCATAAAAATCCTAAACTTCCAAGGAGTTACATTTAAAAAGCCCCCCAAGCAACAACTACTGTCAGGTATTCTTTCTACTTCTCCAGTTTTACAACTTAACTATTAATTTCTTTTTGTGAAAAAATACATGAAGCAAACTATTCTGCTTTGCATCAAATGGAAGCAAAATCTCAGTTTCTTCAATACACAATAATACTTTTGCTTTTATTTTCAATGTCAAACAAATAAATTAAAATTTTCTGTCAATTCTCCATTCTTAAACCTCCCACCTTTTTGATGCAGCCATGCTGAAAAGTCATTTCCTTACTCAACACTATGCCTGTCCTTATTCACCTCTCTTCTTTTTGCCCATTCTTTGATTTGCAGGGTTTTTTTGGGTTATTCTTTTTCTTGTGTCTCTCTTTCTATACCACATTATGAGTGCAACAATAACATCTTGGTTAACCTGGAGGAAGACAAAATACTGGTTTGCAGCTCAGCTGAGAGCTGGAGGAACAGACAGAAGTTGTTGGAATCAGCTGGCTGTAACCTGCCTGCAAACAGGAGCTCTCTTCTGGCCAGCTGGGTCTGGGATGTGATCAAGCAGGAGCAGTAAGTGGTATGGAAGGCAGCTGCTTGCAATATTCAAGATATTGGGCACACACTAGTAGAGCTAATCCAGGATAAGGTAATTTCTGCCTACCTATCCTCCCTGCCTTCTTGGCCCCGTGTGCCTCCTGGGCTACGTGGAAGTTCTTTCAATGTTTCTATCCCTGTTGGACTGCAGTGCCATCACAAGTTAACTTAAAGGTGTTGTTTATGCCAGATGTTTAAATACATTTCTAGTCAACAGTATTTTTATTGAGGATTTTAAAGTGCAAGCAGCAACAAAGTGTATATTTTAAACAACTTGACAGCAGTGGTTATTTTTGGCATTCCTTGCTGAAAGCCTCTGCTGGAAGAGATGAAAATATCTTAACATGGTTTCTCTGATCCACGTAATAGGAGGGACTTTTCCTTACTAGACTTGTCTATGAAAATTCACACTAGGCTAATGGGCTTTATAGTAAATCCTGCAGAATCACACACTTCTTTTATAGTCTCCCTGAATGCTAAAGCTACTGGATCCTGTTCTACCCAGTCAATGAACAGACATAGGTCAGTTCCTTTTCCTGTCTCTTGCAAATATTAGTAAATCACATTTTTTAAGGATTTGAATTTCTGTCTAGACTACTATTTATTTATTTATTGTTTATTTTAAGCAACTTGAGTCAAAATTCTGGAGCTTGATGGCTCTGCAGGTGAAATTGGTAAAAAATCCAGTGGTAAAATATGTCATTTCAATTTCATTCCAGCTTTAATTCTGTGGCAGTGACACACCGAGAAATTACTCTTGCTTAGAGGTAGAAAACCAAAATTATTTAAAAGAAAAAAGACATCCAGATCTACTCCATTTTTGTCAGAAAGCATTAAAGCAAAATTAATTAGAAATGTCGAAGTGTTCTTTTAAAAATTATTTCTGATAAATTTTGACTCTACAGCTATGCAAAAGCCTGTGTGCTCATTCAGAGTCCATGACATTAAAAGGGCAAACAGAAAGAGGCAAAATGGTAACTTGTGATGGACACAGATCACCTTCAAATATTATAAATCATGTTACAATAAAAGAGATGGAAAATACTAAGTTAATGTTTTTTGGGTTTTGTTTTTTTTTTAACTGAAGGAGAATATACATATAACTGTTAGAACTCAGATATACTTATGACCACATAGCAGATTTAAAACCAGAGTAACACCATTGCTTTTGACACTGCTTTAGCATTCATGTATGTTTTAAGTGTAATTAAAATGCTGGGCTCTTTCCCTGAGCGGGAGAAACACCCTATACAACTGGATAAACCCAGCATCTCATAGAGAAGGCTTTGCTCGTGTGGGCTACAAGCGTGAGTAGAAACAGTACGAGCCCTACAAAGATGCACACCATCTACGTTGAGGTGTCTAATGCTGGTGGCCAAGTTAACAGTCTGGTCTCCCAACACTCTTTCTACTGTGAACGAAGAGATAAGGGGCATCCTGAGCCTTAGCCCTGACACTGGTGCTTCAAATAGCCTTCAAGCAAGATTAATTCTTTTTGCTGACTATAATGCTCAGACTCTTGAACTGGCCGGCCACCTTTCAGGGCCTGCAGGCCGGCAGCATGGCATCATCTCCCCAACTGTCCACTTGCCTGTGCTGTGAGCAGCAGCATCTATTAAATTTGGCTGAGCTGAGCTAAGCATTCCTGAGACATAGCTTTGCGTGTGGGCCAGTGCTTACATCCATTAAAAATACATGGACTGGTCTTGAAATGACATTTTGATGATGAAAGACAAGAAACAACTGTCTGGAAGAGGAATGACATCTTAAAGAACAAAAGGGATTTTAATTTTATTCCACTAAATAATGATATTGATGTTGCATGCTAAAACCCCCAGAAAATAGAAAATACTGGAATTCAGCGTTCCTCTACAGGCTAAATCCTGCTTTTGGTGCTTCTCTGAACTTTCATATCATCCTTTTTCTGGTCTTTTCCATCTGACATGTCCATGACAAAGAGTATTTGAAAACATATGGCCAAATATTAAATCTAGCATTAGTACCCAGTAAGCTAAAATATCCCCTAAGACAGCAATGTCCTGATCTTGTCCACATGTGGACTGAAATATATACTATGGCTCAGATGCCACAGAACTTGCAACTAGCTAGATCTTTTGTTTTTATGTGATAGTTCGAACCAGCACACTGCAATTCCAGATAAACCAAAAATTGCACTGCTTTTTAACTACGTTGGCCATTAAATATATAATTTATATAAATATCTGGGTATCTCTTTCTATGTGATAAAGCTGTGCATGCAACATTGCTTGCATTATTTATTCTAGAATGGCCTTACATTTTTAATATTCTGGAGATCTTTGTCCTGACAGCAAATAGTTGCATGAGAACATTGTCAATAGGAGCTGAAAAGCTGCCACTTGGCATAGGTGGGACAGCATTGTATTGTAAACATACTAGACAGGACTTTTAGAATTACTTAGCACTTGCCCTCCTGCTCACTTAAATCATTATTATTGGAGGGGGCAGATAGAAATAGCTGTAGTTAAGGTTATCCGGCATTTTTCATTAAAAGATTCAGCTTTCACTGTTTATAACTGTCAGAATTATTTCTTTTAGGTTGCAAGTATGTGTATCTGCTTTGGGTTTCCTCTTGCTTTTTCAAGTTCCAGCTATACTGATACATCTAATAACAGATAATCATATAAAACACTAATAAACCATTAAGGTTGCAATATTAAGCACTCAAAAACTATGAAATACCAGACTTCTGGTACACAAACTTATTGTATCATGATCACCATCTTTAATGACAAATGCAGAAAACACTCCTGCCTTATTCAGTGCACGGTGGAGCTGGAGAAAGTCAGGTCTGTGGAAACAGCTGGAGAATCTTGTCTCATTAACTAATCTACCCCTGCCATGGAATTCCTACTTAGGGCTTGGCAAGTCACTTGAATCACATCTATTACAAGTTACTAATACTATATTCCTTTCTCCATGGCACTTGCAAATACAGCTGGAGCCATTGGAAGCTTGGCTTTGATCATACTAAAGCACTATGAATTCTGAGCTGGGTTCTGGGTGTTTCTTGTTAATCACTTATCACTACTTAATGCCTTTGACATTAACATCTTTCTATTCATTTCCTATTTGTAAGATAGGCAAACCAGTACTTTTTAATTTGACAAGATGGTCTGAAAATACATTACCAGTGCCACAAAGCATTTTGATATTACAGTAATGAGCATCACGGGGAAATCCATAAGGAAATTAAAAATTTTATGTTCAGAATAGGGTTTAAATACTGTGGATCGGGAAAGGCATGACACTGAATTATGGAGAGGAAGCCATTGAACAAAAGCCTGTTTAATGAGCACTGACCATCATGCACACTGAATGAAGCGAGACACCAGTAGTGACTGCCTTGTTAGCGTGTGATGATATGATTAGGTGATATGTAATCATATAATTAGGATATAATGACAATCTTGTAATGCATGCAAAAAAAGCAAGGAGCCTCTCTTCCATTTATGCTTTCTAACTTCTTTTAACGTTATTTTTCCCTTTGAGGAGCACGTCTCATTACTAGTGGACTTGAGCCAATACATCTGAAAATATTTCCTAGAATGCCAATTCAATTGCAAACTGGCTGATAAAATTTCACTTAGTGAGGTATTGGTTCTCTGCCACTTATCCACATAAATAAACCAGATAAACAAGCTCTGAAAAACCCTGAAAGGCAGAGTCTCCTGGAGGGACCAAGATAAATCCGAATAATTGAGAGGGATATATTAATACACTAGGGGTATATGAGACCCTACCAGTCCCTGGTGTAGAGGGCTACAGACTCAGTCTGGTCTGAAGAGGGGCAAGCGTCTCTTTCAGCTCTTCAACACAGCTGTACTCAGTACTTGCAAAGCTGCAGCTCAAGATTTAAGCCAATTCCACTGAAATGGTTAGCTGTGAAAAAGTTCTTGTAAAAGCAAAGATTTGGTTTCCGAACTAGATCTTCATAAATAGCCTGCCGTAATCTCACAATTATTGTCCCATGCTACAGCTTTATACTTCTTTACATTTGGAGGGGCTAGAAGTAGAGTTATTTTAAATAAGACTCCGGAACATATTTGCAGAATATGTTGTGGATTTAGGGGCCAGTGTACTCTGCAGCCTCCATGGTCTTGAAACACACAGAGTCCCTATTTAGAGGTCTGTCAGCAAAAGCTCATTATGCTTCCAACTACAATTTAAACACTATAGGCCACAGAATAGATCCAAGTTTTTCACTCTATTAAACCTTAAGGCATTTAGAAATATTGTTCTAGAAAAGGCTCTAAACCTCCTGTCCCCATCTCACTATGAAAAAGGATAACACAATTCCTAAGGAATGTACAAATTTGTGGAAACAAATAATAAACAACTTAAATAAACATCCTCTCCAATGTAGCTGATGTTGCACTGTAATTAACAGCACGCAATGTTCACTTCGAATAAACATTGAGAATGAAAATTACCATAAAGGAAATTTTTGCCTGTGCTTTTGCCTTTGGCCCTGTGTAGCCTCCTTATACTGAGGAGCAATCAGGCTGCACAATATCCGGTGGTATTTCTTGATGATATTCAAAGGTGACTCTGTGCTTGGAAGCTAATATCATCTAAACATATTTATACAGTGGAGATCTCAGGAAGAAAAAAAGTTGAAGCAGAAGAAAGGCTATCCCAAAAATACTGGCCCTATGACTAGCACAAAACATGTTACATGTTATTTTATGACGCTTCCTTTATTTTGTCTCTCACAAAGCTACCAAGTAGGAAAGGAAGCTACTGGATTCGGATTTAACACTCACTGAAGCCATGAGAAAGATTCCCATGCGATTCGGAAGCTTTCAGATGATGGTGCTGAGCTACACGGGGTCAATTATTTTAACCTGTACAGAATAATCTCCAATTTGTGGGCTAATGAATAACTGTATCTTTTGCATCCCAGCTTTGAGAATACATCACTCCGAGTTTTTCTTTGAAGAACAGTATATATCATACAGGTGTATGTTTTCCAAGAAATAAAAAGAAGACTGTGTACAGTGGAAACAGGACTACAGTAAACATTTCTATCCTTTAAAAAAGAGGTATTAACACTCTTAATTTGGTAGCTCTAGTGGGTTTATAATTAAATCTACTAGTAGATTTACCAATGCATGTACCATCGTGGACCTTCAAAATATTGCAAGTCAGAATCCTCTATGCTTTTCCTTTACAAGGAAAGCCTGGGTTAAATTGCACTCATAGTGAAGTAGAAAAGTTGTTTCCATTTTGCTAACAGAATCACTGCCAACATTCTGTTATTCAATCCCTATTATCCATCCTCAAGTACACCTCCTACAGCAAAAAAGGCATTACTAAAATTACAAATCACCTTTGGCCAACACAAAGTTGACTTATTGGCTTCTGGAAAACAACAACAATGAAGAAAATAAGACATTTGGGGGCATTTGAAATTTAATCTTCAACTACCTACATTTGCAGTCCTTCTGGTTTTTGGCAAGCTCAAAGCCAGGCCTACATTCACAGGCAACCCCACCTTTGGGCGTCTCCCGGCAGATGTGTGCACACCCATGATCTTTGTTCATACAGTTCATACCCTCTGTAAAAAAAAGAAAGAAAAATGGAAAATATTAGTACTGAAAGAAAAACTGCAAAATAATTATACGCATCCAGTCCTCCCATAATTTTAATTGTAATTTTTATTTTGCATGTGGGCTGTGTTCCCCAGGGCAAAAGAACGCAGCTAAAAAGAGGTATACAATCAACAAAACAGTATAATAAAGGACAAATCTCCTCTGGGGTAAATGTAACAGGTACTACTGTGGAATATAGGATGTCTCTAATGCATGTAGAAACTCAGGACTTGTGATTTCCCTCTTTCATATCCATATCCTAATCTTTCATGAAAATATAATGGATTTAAAGGATACTCCAGGAAGTTGTCTATCTCACCGGTGATTATCAGGGTTGAATAACTGAGATTGCTGTTACTTTTACCTCATATAAATTTAATGGTTGTTACTGTCTGGTGCATTTTCATTTGCCTGTTAATGTGCTTTATATTTTCTAACACACAAAATCTACCAAAGAACACATCTGAGCATTTTTGCTTGGATCTATTTCTTCAATATTTGTTATACATCTCAGTTATCTGTGTCACCCGCTGTAAACGCAGCCCATCACCAACAAACCTACTACCACTTTTCTCTTTGAGTATATTTAACAAAACATACCAGCTGTTCAACAAACGTCCAAGTGCCACGGGTGGATTCCTGTTAATGTTTATGCCAAGGAGCAGTATCAACCAGCTTTCTCTTAATCATCACAGAGCCAGTTTTAGCTTTCTAAACCATGTAAGTGATTTAGATACTGAATGCGCCTTATGCTCTTGGAGGCTTTCATTACCGTGTTCATTCAAACCCCACATATTCACAGAAATCTTGAACTCAGTCCTTATGGGTCAGCATCTAGCATTCCTCCTGTGAAGGAAGGCTAGCAACATTTGCATTACAAAGCCTTCCCAGACTTCCCCTTGGATATCTGACCTGGAAAGGAGAGACAAATTCTCTCAAGAGTACACTGACAGAGAATTCACAGCGTAACTCAGCTCACTACCACGAAAAAAGCGTGTGTTCCCCAAAGCTCTGGTACATGCAGCATCAGTGTGGACTCAGCAGCTCATCTGCCCCTTTTTAACACGGCTACTGCCACCTATTCTAGGCTACTTTCTGGGAACAATTCTGGTGTAAAATCTCCAACTCAAACCTACTGTAGCAATGTACTGTAAATAAATGATTTTTCAGGGCTCTTGCAAAGTTTTTGCTTCCAAAGGTGAAAGGGATCCCTGCCCTCCCTTTTAATTCTTACAGAAACTACAGGAATGTAGCTGCCACCTCAGGCACCTACACACGCTGCCTTTCAAATACTGCAAACCAAGTGTCAAGGCTTTATGATGAATTTGAGCAAAAGTTTCTCTGCACACAAAAGAGTTTTTAATTGAACACAAATTAGCGTATAAGATGGCTACTAAGAAACTTTGTGTACAAAATTCTGAGTCAGTCAGAGATTCCCTCAGGTCGACTGAAGCCACCAGCTTCTGAAGTTATTTGCACTGCTTGGCTTTCCCTCAGGAAGGTTTGTATTAGCAGAGCAATGAAAAACACACATCACCAGTCTGAGTGGGCATTTTTGTTCATCTCTCCTACAAAAAATATCAGGATTTTAAATCTTACCACCTAGAAAACCAACATTATAGACAACAGATATATTTCTTTTAAATTCCCCTCTGTGTTAGCCTTGATGAATCTAAAAACTTGCCAAATCACACAAAAAAATATTCTCTGTAAATTTCAGCCTGGGTAACAGATGCTACTGGAAGATATAACACATACTATGCCCTACCATACCATCCTATACATTGAAGTAAGGTATGAATGTTTTGTTTGGCTGAATAGACATAAGAAACCTGGGAACGACCTTATTGAAGGTTTTGAGGCATTTTATAATCTCTTTCTCTCCACTTCTCCCAACAAAGGATTTCAGACACAATGTGTTTGACAAACTGCATTCCTGCGCACTACGCTATGTTCAGAAAAGGATCTGGGAAAGATAACACATGCCTGATTGAGTCACACGGCTGAGGCAATGAGAAGAGAGGAATTAGATAGATGAAAGAAGATATTTAATGGCCCAGAAGAGTAATGAAGCAAGTGATTTTCAGTGTTTACTTACAGATACTGAATATCTGCCATTGTTAAAATCACTTGGGAAGACAGAAATTGTGCACTGCTAAAAATATCAGGAGAAACTGAAGATCAGAATTATTACACTTTGAAACAAAAGTGAAAAACAAAGCATAATTTTATGCCGGTATTTGCATGTAAGACCACAATATTTCAGTTACTGTTTAATCATTTCAGTTATTGTGTTCATCAGATAGTAGGAGCTGTAGAAAAAGTATTTCAGTTCCGTGTTTAGCTGGAGAAGATCCCCACATAAACCCCCTAATTCTGAAAACCATTATTTCAGAAAAGTTAAGGTATTTTGGTGAAATGAGAGGCCATTATTTTTCACTCAAGAGCAGAAACTCATGCACATTAAAATTTTTCATTTATATTTTAGTATTTTTCAAAATCTTTAAGACTTAAATTACGAAAAAAAAAAGTAAATAAAATGCCAGTAAATAAATACTTTGGCTTGTTTAAAAATATAATCTAAACCAAATTTGTGTTAATTTGCAAACAGTTTTAATCACTCCAAATTTTATTTATTCAGCAAATGCAGTATTTGGCCACGTCTTCTGTATCAGTCAACATACACAAATGATTTAGGAATCATTTTTGATACACAAGATTTACTTTTTTTGCAAGCTCACTCTTCAGACAACACTGAACCTTTTATGATATAGCATATAAATCACACTAAAATATATAAAAAATATGCTTCCTAATACTACTTTAGTTGCTAAACAAATTCATACGATTTCGAGAGAAAAATACTCCTGAAATGACTTTATTTAGTATTCTCTTTACCAGGATGTGGTTCAAACTCTAAAACAAACTAGAAATACATAAAACATATATTTTCTTATACTGGAACTGGATGGAGCACACTGCTGGTAGCAAAATTACTGGTCTGCCAACTGCACCCCACTCACTCTGCTGTCATAGAAGTAGTCAAATGTCTGAGTTATCATCTCCCCTCACTATCACCTCCTGAGAAACAAAGTCTTGCCTTCTTTTAGTTAATGTTTAGCAGCCACCTAACGCGCTCATGCTTTTTACATAAGGAGCCAAGACTCTGAATAGCAGCATGGGAAAAATTCCCCTGGTGTGAAAGAGGGATGTTTCTCAGGCATCTCAGCGCCTGCCTTGGTGTTTAGCTTCCCTTGCCCCAGGACCAAGTGTGACCCAAAGGGGAGGTGGGCAGCGTGCTTCCAGACCCACTGGCACTGCCGTGTCTTGGTGGCCAGGAGGCTCCTCTCCCCAGAGATGGGCAGCGCACAGCTCCAGCAAAAATGCTGTGTTCTCTCTGGGGGTACCTAGCACAATCAAGGCCAAACAGCTTCATTTGTAGAAATGGGTGGAAAACTAGTAATTCAAGTAAAAAACACAATCATGGAAAAAGGGGGTGGGATTCTGCTGGTCATTTAAATATATCTGAATTTTTTCTCTTAATCACCGTAAGCTCCAACTGAGCAGAGGGGGCCCAGCAGCAAGAGGAATGCCCTGTACTTCACCTGTTGCTCCTCCCTAGAGCTGACCAATGTAATGCAGAACCAGGGAAGAGAGGGGAAACACCTATGGAATTATTCTAGGCCTTTTCCAAGATAGTACGTGCCCATAGCAGTTTCACATCAATATGTTGCATGGCCTGGGCAAAATATGAGACAATGGATCTTGCACCCGAGCCTTAAGCAGAAAGCATTTACAGAACTACATATTTTACTACACAGCCTTATGACCCCCCTTTCTCACATCGTGTGCACAACTGCATCATTCTGGGTTTGAACACCAGGAGTTGTTCCTAGCTGCTTCTCTTGGGGTTTTTGTTGCAGTGATCTGTGTGTCCCAGCTTCTAGAACTGATGTGACTATGGGTCAAGTGAAAAACCATAGCTCCCAAATCAATGGAGAGGCTAAATGTTGGTAAAAGAAGTCTGTACACCAGAAGACCCTTACTGTATCATCATGACACTAAAACATCCAACTTTGAAATGTTCTAGGTTTTTCATGTTAACTGTTAATAAAAGCAGCATCTTAATTACATATGCTGTTACTCAAGGTAGTATCTAAAGGCTAGCACAAAAATAGGTGCATGTTGTCTTTGGCAGTGCTGGCAGACACTAAAATAAACTTTTCAAACACAGACACACTCTCAGCAAATTCACCTTACAAAAGGACAATAAAACAGAATCCAATGGAAAGCACATTATAAACAGGAAGAGAAATGCCACTTAAGAAAGGAAAACACTAATCTAATTAAACTAAATCCTCTCTCAGCATTTTAGATATGACTTGAGAAACTCTCTCCTATTGCATTCCTGGATTTTTTTCTGACTTTCAGTTACAAAAGATTGTTCATGGGAGAGTGGCAGACATTGTTATATGACCCACAATTCACATTCATTTTTGTTGCTGGCCTAGGAGAGATTTGGGTGTGAGTCTACTACATTAATCCAGTCTGCCATCTAGTTATCACAAATCTCTTAATAGTGCTGTTCTGCAAAATGTTGAGTCTGATACAATGACCTCTCCATTGTATTATGCTCTAAAAATGTTTTCAGCTCAATGGCTCTGAAAGTGCTTAAATCAGGCCGACTGTGACAACTAATGTACTGATCAGCCTTTATTTTTCATTAACACTGCCTGTTCTCATCTTAATTAAGACTTCTAGCAATTATTTTACTCTGTGGTTCATCATACATGCTTACATTGTACTCTATGGTGTCATTATTTCACTTACTCTATATTTATGTTGCTGCTATTTTTATAACTTCCAAATAAACATGCTGATTCCAAACACAATCTGAAAAATACCACTTTAAATTGCACCAAAGACACAGCAATAACTTCTAGAATATTGTCAGAGCATATGTGGT